TCTGCAGAGGCTGAGAGCTTTCACCGAGTCGCAGGAGTCGGCAGAGGGGACGGCGCATGCTGACACACACACACACACACACACACACACACACACACACACAGTGAGTCACATTAAATGAAAGCCACCCACATGTCCGTTGGCCAGGTCGAGCAGGTCCCGCAGTCTGCAGCCCCGCCTGTGCCTCCGCTCGTAGCAGATGCTGTTTTCCAACACCACATAGTCGGCTCCAATAGCCTTCAGGATATCGTATACTTCCTCTGGGGAGCGGCGAGCGTACACTTGATACACCTGTTCTCACACACACACACACACACACACACACACACACACACACACATAAGTATTTCCTGAAAGGAAACCAATATTAACTTGATATTGCTGGGAGGGGAAAACCTCTCCCCTGGAACTCAATTACCAGACACATTTGTTTTCTGAATTACACTTTATGAAACTTGGTTTATTCCAATTAGGAAACATTTACTTTGAAAAACAAAAAAAATAGAATGAAAACAATTATGACTCAAACAAAACCCGCAGGGGAACAAGAACTAAAGCTGAAAACATAAATCCCAGCTTCCAGGAAAACTCTCGTGGTTCATCTTTTATTTGTAGCAGGCAAAAGATTTAAATGGACAAATTATGCAGCCCATAAATACTGCAAGAACTGGCTAAGAGCGGATTTATTGTAAGGCTAAAAGACAGTGAAACAGCAACTTTTAGAAAGGTTCAAATAAGCTGTAAAAAAAAAGCATCAATCCAACTGAATCTCACCTGTGACTGAAATCACACTGATTTAACCACTAAGTGCTGTTTTAGTATTTAGTTTATCATCTTAACGGTGAATATCAAATATTCTCACTACATTGTGCTTTCAGTGATTAACCAATGACACAAGCATGAGCATCTTCCTTTGCAAACGAGCCTAAATCTGTCGGCGATGATGCAAAAATGACGAGTGGCGCCATTTGGAGAGCCCTTCTGTGGCTGGTGATGAAATATGGTAAAAAATCACAATGGAAATAAAGTGACAACTAAATATTAGATATTAAAAATAGTCAAGAACTGACAGAATCTGATACTAAGTGAGGGATGACTCGAAAAGTACTACAGCGTAGTTTCATTGTCACAGTTTATCCTCTCGAGATGATCTCATGAAAAGCTCCAAATCAATATTTAACTGATCCAGCTCTCAGTGTATTAAAAATATATATATATGTCAACTGCTGTAAATAACCAGCTTAGAACAATTCACTGAACCACACTGTGTCACTGAGATGAAGTAAAGCACTGCACGGCCTGGCGGACAAAGTCCTGGCAGCATTATTGTAAAACCCCAGCAGGTTTTCCAGGCAGAGTGTCAGTAAGCATTTTATATTTGAGCATTTGATAAGCAAAAATGTGTAAATAAAGAAGTCAACTAACAAAACCGAATCTAAATCGCTGCTGATTTTTTCTTGACTTTTCTTCCTCCGTCTGAACCACAAACGAATTCAAGGCTCCGAGTCTTTCATGTAGCTGTAGCCTGCAAACACCTGCAACCTACCAAGCTAACGCAGTCTGGACAGTTCAGACGGGGAGGAGGTCGATATCAAACCAATGTCTTGCCAGAGGGCAGTGTTAACAGAAGAAAACAGTAATGGTTTCTCTTGAACTCACAGATTGGTGCTGAGTGAAAGTCCACTGATGCCAACCCTACAAGCTCCATTTGATCAGCTATGGATACATGATACCAAGTCACCAGACACTCAGGAAATAATCAGGGCTGTAACTGAATATAATAGACCGATACTGTTCTTATCTCCAGTTTTTAAAGAAGAGATGCCTCTTCATTTTTTTGTCGTTTTCCCCTGTGGTGTCAAAAATGGCGTCGACCATTTTGCTTGACTAAGTGCAGTGTTGGGGAGTAACGGAATACATGTACCGCCGTTACGTATTTAAA